TCAACAAAATTGCAAGTCCTCATTTTTTACTCATAATTTAATCCAACAAGGAATTTTAATGAGTAAATTCTTCCAGGCTTCCATATCTAAGCTTCATTTTTGAAACACATCTTCATCACGTGAACTTAGCTCTAAATTGAACTTAGTTCTTTCTGCTTGGACAGGCAATCTGACTACTGGGTTACCGGAAAAGCAAAGGGATTTATTTTCAGCTATGACCTTCAAAATGTGAAAAGCTGTACATGAAGGTCAACATAAAAAAAAGAGACAAAGAGAGGAAAAGAAGGAGGAAGGAAGCTGACAGTTGTTTTCAAAGTAATCTCTGTCCAACCCAATAAATCAGACAGCAAATACAAATAATAAAAAAGCATTTAAAGGAAAACTGTAATTTCTCTCATGGTTTCAAACTTTCTAAGGACATTCTAAATCATCATTTCATTTTTCTTTTAATCAATATAAGGTTTAGTACTATATTGTACTATACTTAGTATAAGTACTATACTGTATTATATACTATATAAGTACTATACTGTACTATACTTAGTACTATACTGACATAATAATAATAGTTAATATTTACTTGTTATTTCTCACATTATCATGTGCCAGACACTATTCTCAGTTCTTACATGTTTTATTTCATTCAAACATCACAGCAAATGTGAAATAGACAGTATTATTACCCTCATTTCACTGGTGATGAGACTGAGGCCAAAGGTCATTAGTTAATAAATGCCAGGACCATAATATAATAATAATCAACACTCCAGAGCACCTTAAAATTGTCAAGATTTTTTTCAGCCATTATCTTCCTTTGATCCTCACAAGGAATTGCAGGAAAACATCTACTTCTGCTGTATTAACTATGCCAAAGCCTCTGACTGTGTGGATCACAACGAACTGGAAAATTCTTCAAGAGATGGGAATACCAGACCACCTCGCCTGCCTCCTGAAAAATGTATCTGCAGGTCAAGAAGCAACAGCTAGAACCGGACATGGAGCAACAGACTAGTTCGTTAAGTATGTTAAGGCTGAATATTGTCACTCTGTTCATTTAACTTATATGCNACCTCAAGGAGATCCAACCAGTCAATCCTAAAGGAAATCAACCCTGAACATTCACTGGAAGGACTGATGCTGAAGCTGAAGCTCCAATACTTTGGCCACCTGATGCGAAGAGCCAACTCACTGGAAAAGACATGGCGCTGGGCAAGAGTGAGGACGAGAGGAGAAAGGGGTGACAGAGGAGACGGTGGAATGGCATCGCTGACACAGTGGACATGAGTTGGAGCAAACTCCAGGAGACAGTGAAAGACAGGGAAGCCTGCTGTGCTGCAGTCCATAGGGTCGCAAAGAGTTGGCCACAACTGAGCGACTGAACAACAACTGAGCCTCACAATACTTTGATACTGATGGAATAACATAACCACCAAGTTAATTTCACAAATGGAAAGAAAAAACTAAGGCTCCACAATATTGACTTTTGCAAGACAGGAAATCAAGGAGCTGGCAGAGAAATGCAGATTTTCTGAGTCAATATTCTCTCACTATGCAGGCTTTCTAACTATGCTGTCTTTCTCACTGTAGACAATACAGATATCTTCAAAGCAAAACTCTAGATTTTCTCAAATCAAAATTCTAGCTCCAGATGCTTAATAATGTATCTGCCTGTCTGCTTGCCTGCTAAGTCGCTTTAGTCGTGTCTGACTCTTTGCAACCCCATGAACTATAGCCTCCCCAGGCTCCTCTGTCCACGGGATTCCCAGGCAAGAGTACTGGAGTGGGCTGCCATGCCCTCCCCCACGGGACCTTCCCGACCAAGAGAAGGAGCCCACATCTCTTACGTCCTTTGCATTGGCAGGTGGGTTCTTTACCACAAGCGCCACCTACTTCAGTTTTTTATCCCCCGTGTCAGGTACAGTGCCTGGCACAGAGCAGACCATGAGTCTGTGTATTGCCTAGACACTCCTCGTCTTCCTCCACCGGAGTCATTTCTCTACGTTCACGCTATCCTGCAGTCCTAGACTGCCTTCAGAGCCACGGTTCATCCTCACAAATCATCACTTTGAGGAGGCCAGAGTCTATAGGAATTCACAGTCCAGAACCCAAAAAGATACAAAAACTGAAAACTTTATCTAAAGTTTGATGCCAAAACTCACTTGGTAACTATGGCAGTCCCTCTTCCAGATGTCTCTTAGTGATCTCTGCCTCCCAGTGTTCACACCCTTATACAGTCCCCTCTCACTCCAAGATTGGCTAGTATGACCAACAAAATACCACATAAGCATAATAACAGACGTTATATACAACTAGGGCTTCCATCTTGGGTTTTCCATCTAAGATTAGTTGCTTTGGAGTAAGCCAGCTACCGCGTTGTAGTGACACTCGGGCTCACATGGTGAGGAACCACGACCTACCAACAAGCCCATGGCTTACAAGCCAGCAGGCTTAGAAGCAGACCCACCATCCGCTTCCCCTTGACTGATGCCTCAGGCACATTTTGAGTGCAGCCTCAGAAAAACCTGAACCAGAATCATCCAGTGAAGCTGCTCCTGGATTCTGGACCCAGAGAATCTGTACGGGATACTGTTTGCTCTAGGCTGCTAAGTTTGTGGTGTAATTTGGCACACGCAACAGATACACACCTGGGGCTTCCCAGGTGGTACCAGTGGTAAGAATCCACCTACCAGTGCTGGAGGTGCAGCAGACATGGGTTCGATCCCTGGGTCAGGAAGATCCCCTGAAGAAGGAAATGGCAGTGTTCTTGCCTAGAAAATTCCAGGGACAGAGAAACCTGGCAGGCTACAGTCCGTGGCATTGCAAACAGTCAGACAAGATGAAAGATGAATAGATAAGAGTTAACTAATACAGAGACAAAATCTGGAAGAAGGCAACTTACAGTCTCTATTTACCCCCTCTTATTTTGAATATTCAAATGATGAGTTGTGCAAAATATTGTGCTTGTTTTAAGAGGTATCACCTTAAACCTGGCTAGGGATATCGCATAATGGGTCATTTATATACCATACTACCTTGCTAGAATCTGAAAGATCTTGAACCTTCAAACACATCTAGCCTCAAGGGTTTCAGGTGAATCTATACTCACTTCTTCTAAAATACCTTTCCTGATTAACCGATCCACCTCAGTATGTAAGAAACATTATTTCTTTTTTTTTTTTCATTTATTTTTATTAGTTGGAGGCTAATTATTTCACAATATTGTAGTGGGTTTTGTCATACATTGACATGAATCAGCCATGGAGTTACATGTATTCCCCATCCCGATCCCCCCTCCCACCTCCCTCTCCACCCAATCCCTCTGGGTCTTCCCAGTGCACCAGGCCTGAGCACTTGTCTCATGCATCCAACCTGGGCTGGTGATCTGTTTCACCATAGATAATATACATAAGAAACATCATTTCTTATAAGGATGTCTGTAACTCTTATCTCCACTATATAATCCAGTACTTATTTATGAATTGTATTGAATTCTGTTTTTATAAGTAAATATTTGTCTTTCCACCTAAAACTTAAATTTATTTTAACCATTTAAACTTCTCTTAACTGTGAAGCAAACTCCATTACTCATATTAAACCTAAACTGTCATTTCTCATGACATCACCGTTTTTAACTGACAGGGTTAGTAAAATATTAAGACAGAAAACTTGCCTCTGTCTCTTTCATCCTCTCCTCCAATTTGCCACCTAGGACCGCACTTGTCAGCATGGGGACTTTTCTGAATCGTACTGGGGTACAACAATTTTTAAAACTTAGGTTTTTACACATGACTTACATGTTCTGTATAATGTTCAGTTTGTAATCCTTTAAAGTGTGGATACATAGAGGGATAAATAGGAAACATAAGAATTGGTTATTCAAGGGGCTTTTTTACTTACAGTATTTAAAAATTCAACATTATGGATGGTAAAATTGTGTAAACTTCATTCAAATCCTTATGAATCAAATCATTATTGAACAAAAGACTTGTGGCTGTGTAATTACTATCTTTTATGCATTTGATAGAATTAAATATACCCAGACTTATGTTTGAAGGAAAAAAAGGCTAGTCTTCCCTCTATTTCATCATCCCCACCAGAAATCCTGGGTGCTACTGGGTACACAAGCTCTGAATAAACTCTTATAAAAGTGAGTTCACAAATCCATATTTAAAATTACAGACACACAGCACTGGTCCAGACCACCAAATACCCTCACACTCAAAACCTATTTATCTTCAAATAACTACCCAGAATATTATGTAAGAACACTATCTGAAAGAAAAAGAAGCCAGCTCCCTGAGGAATTCCGGAAAATTTGCACAACCTCAAAATGCCCTTGTAAACAGCAGCAGATGCATGAAATAATCGTTATGGGGGAAAGATCTATTAGCCTCCTGATGATTGGCCTATCTGAAACCTTTCAACGAAAGAGCAATTTTACCATTCTACTTTCCTCTCTTGCACCCTCCCTCAGGCAATAAGAAGGGTCACTAATCAGTTTTTAATTTTCTTTCCTGGAGCGATACCAGAATGGAGCTATAAGAATTCAAGGTAAAGACTTTACTAAACAGAAACCAAGGAAAAACTCTGAGTGATACAAGCTCTAAAACCATGGCCATAACCATATATTATTCTAGGCCTTTGAAATAAACAAGCATCTTCCATCTTCCAGAAAGTCAAAAAAAAAAAATAAAATGCAATGCAGTTAGTATCATTCTGAAAAGAAATTCCACATAAGCAAACTCCCAAATTGGAAGGGGGAAAAAAAAAAGATTCTTTGAGACAAAAGAGTCTCTCCCTCATATAATCTACCCAGAGAGAGTTGCACAAATCCAAATGCCGAGACTGCAGAAGGCACTCAAGCCAGATGCGGGCCTAGAAGGACTTGATTTAAGGGGGAGAGGGAGGAAACGGGAAGGGTTGGCAGCATGAGAGGAGACAAGATTGGCAGCAAACCTAAATGATTTCCCATCAGTTCTGACCTCTTCCCCTATAATCAGCTCCCAGCTGTTCCTTGCAAGCTGTGAAGAAACCGAGGGCGGGTGAGCACGGAGAAATCAGCAGACGGGAAACCACGAGGCAGGGCTCCGGGACCACGCACTGGGCTCTGGCAAACCACTGGGAGGTTTCAGACCCCTCACTGGGCGCCCGCTCCCTCAGCTGTCGGATGGGAGGGCTGCATCAGATGACTCTACATGCCCGTGCCTGGTCTACCTTCCGAGGGTAAGTGAAAGTCACTCTGTTGTAACGCACGTCATCCCTCCCACATCCTCCCCCTGGTGTCTGCTGCCTTTGGGGGCAGGCATCACAGGGCTGCACCAACTGAGGACATAGGACCTCAACTGAGGACATAGGACCTCAACTGAGGACAGTCAGGGTTGGTGCAGAGAACCAGACAGTCGAACGACTGGGCAAAAGAATGAATGACTGGCAGAAAAAAGCAGTAACACATAGCAACCAGTTTGTGTGAAAGATTTTGTCACCCATGGCTGTGGTTTTATCTAGATTCTAGACACTTCACAGAGGAAACTGCCTGTAGCCTGCATATCTACTGGGATTTGTGAAGTGTTTGAATCAATTCAATTCAGTCACTCAGCTGTGTCTGACTTCATGATCTTAGTTTTCTGAATGTTGAGTTTTAAGCCAACTTTTTCACTCTCCTCTTTCACTTTCATCAAGAGGCTCTTTAGTTCTTCTTTGCTTTCTACCATAAAGATGGTGTCATCTGCATAGCTGAGGTTACTGCTATTTCTCCTGGCAATCTTGATTCCAGCTTGTCTTTCATCCAGCCCAGCTTTTCTCATGATGTACTCTGCATACAAGTTAAATAAGCAGGATTCCTAGTGTGATTGCAGGTTAAAACCTAGAGAGCAACTGTGGCTTCATGGAACTGGACTAACATCCCCTATGGTGTAATATTACACCAGTTTCAATACCATTAAGATGTGCTACCACTTTCCTCAGCCATTTTAACCCGCAATCACACTAGGAATCCTGGAAGTTCAAGGCTGAAAGAAAGCCATGAGGATGAGAGAGGGTGTGGGCGTTCAAAAGTGATGACCTTCCAGTCATCTACATTACTTTCCCAGGGGGGAGAACACTGCATGTTACACTGCTCAGGATCAATATCTAGCAATTTCTCAGTGTGTTGCAAGGTAATAGATGAAATCCACATGCCTATTTAAATGACATTAACTTTCCTAACATACTACACCATTAACTACCAAGACTGACAAAGTTATTCATAAAACATATGCTAATACTCTTTTCCAGCCCTCCATCAAGTAATTTACAGAAAGAGTCTGGAAGGACCAAAGGCAAATCCTTCACACAACATGAACAGCAACATTCAAAGCTTATACGGAAAAGATTTTAGAAATCTAAATACTCAACAACCAACGTTTCAATTTACAAAAGCAACAATAGCATGACTGAAACAATCCTTCTATCGATCCTCCTTCAAACATGACGAATATTTACTGAGCACCACCATGTGCCTGCCACTCTTCTAAGCTCCCGGGGATTGAAGAGTGGATAAAATATACAATGTTTTACTGCCACCAGGAAGTTGACAGGAAATTTTGCTCAAAATATTAAATGTCAAATGTGTTTTAACTGGGAGTGCTTTTTCTGCTGAATTATACACATCTACCCTACCAAGGAATTAGTAAAAATAAACAAGAGATATAGATAGGTATGTCAAGGGAATAAAACTGGGAGTCCAGAAGTTAACCTTTAATTTATTGTCAATTGATTTTTGATAACTAAAAAAATTAGTTTTTTCAACAAATGAGCTAGGACAACTGGATATCCACATGCAAAAGAATGAAGAAAAGATCACAGCCCTAAGTGTAAGAATTAAAGTCACAAAACTCCTAGGAAAAAAAAAACAAGTAAATCCTCATAACCTTTGAGTAAGTAACGGCCACTCAAATATGATCCCCAAAACACAGAAACAAAAGGAAAGATAAATTGGACTCATCAAAATTTAAAACTTTTGCATATGAAAGCACACTGTCGAGAAAAAATTTTCAGATCCCACAGAATAGGAGAAAACATTTCCAAATCAAGTATCTGACAGAAAGAAAAAAAAAAACCTTCCACGGGGTCAAGAAGAGTCTGACACTACTGGACAACTGAACAACAACAGGCTATACACACATAGCAAACACTTAATGATAAAAAGGAAAATAACTCAGTTTTTTTAATCGACAAACTATAGATATTTCTCCAAAGAAGATATACAAATGGCCAACAAACATATGAAAAGATGCTCACATCACTAATTTTTCAGGAAAATGCAAATCGAAATGACAGTGAGATACCACTTCATATAAAAAAGGTTAATAATAATCAAAAAAGGTTAAAGCAAGTGTGAACGTGGGGAAAACTGGAACCCGCAGACATGGCTGGGCTTTGCTGGTGGCTCAGACGCTGAAGAATCCGCCTGTAGCACAGGAGATCTGGTTCGATCTCCGGCTCCGGAAGATCCCCTGGAAAAGGGAATGGAAACACAAGGATTCTTGCCTGGAGAATCCCACGGACAGAGACGCCTGGTGGGCTACAGTCCAGGGGGTCACAGAGTCAGACATGACTGAGCAACTAACACTTTCACTTTCAGACATTGCTGGTGGGAACGTAAAATGGTGCAGCTACTGCGGAAAACAGTTTGCAAGTTCCTCAAACTATTAACTGCTGCTATGATCCAGCAATTCCACTCCTAGGCATATGCGCAAGAGAAACTGAAACATTATGTTCACATAAAGACTTGCACATGAATCTTCATAGCAAAATTATTTGTAATAGCCAAAATCCATCAACTGATGGACAAATAACGGTATATCTATGCAATGGACTATTATTATTCAGCAATAATGTGGCATGAAATACTGATACATACATTATGAGTGAAGGCAAGGTGAAGAAAGCCAGGCACAAAAGACCACATATTCTATGAATCCATTTATAAGGAATGTCCAGAATACGCAAATCTACAGAGACAGAAAGATGAGTGGTTGCCTAGCTGGAGCACTGCCTGGCTGAAGCAGCCGGGTAGGAGGGGTGGGAGGAATGGAGGAGTGACTGCTAATAAGATTTCTTTTGAAGTGATGAAATGTTCTAAAATTCATTTTGATGAAGGCGGCACAACTCTGTAAATACATGAAAAACCACTGAATTACACTCCTTAAGTGGGTAAATTATAAGGTATGTGATGTATGTCTCCATAAAACTGTTTTTAAAATTTAAATAAGAAACTAGGAGTCAAGCAGGTACACTTGTACCCAGGGAACCTAGAAAGTGTCAAGGTGAAAAGATGTCTTTTCCTTCTCAGGTTCATTGCTTATATCAATCTGGAAGTACCTTTCCTTATTCAGATTAATTCAGCCAGTCCACAATCACTCACTGATTCCTCGGGAACTCAACTTGACCTGGGGGATCCCTTAAAAGAGATAGAGTTCCCTCCCTCAAGGCTTTCCATGTCTATCACAACAGCTCCCACTCATTCGGCATGGGGCTAAGGGTTATGCATAACACTCAGGATAAGGTGGAGAATTTGACCCTAATTTTATAGAACAGGAAGCTGACTCTGAGGGTAGTGACTTGACTGTGGTTAAGTGCTAACACACGGAAGGGAGACCTGAAGCAAGAGTTACCTATGACCAAGACCCACGCCCTCATCATCTTATGATATTGCTCCCAGGGCAAGGTGGGCAGGAAAGTACAGGAACTCCTGCAATGAAATGCAGGCTTAATTCAGATTAGAAGAGGGCCTTCAGAGAAAGTGGCACCGGAGCAAAACCCTGCTTGATGAGAACGGGGACTTCACTCAAACAAGAGGAGGTGGGATGAGGCTTTCCAAACAGAAGACCAGGGTGAGAGCGAAGGTAGAGAATTCAGACTAGAAAGCAGCTTGGCTTGGCCAGAATCCATGACAAGGATATGGCAGCTGGTGGGAGTAAGGTCAGATAGACGTGGGGTCCCATCATGAAGGGCCAGGGTGCGGCCCTGGTGCCCAGGAATATAAACTAAGCCAAAGAGATTGAGAAGCTACTGCAGCCATCCAGCTGAGGACTGAGAGCAATCTAGACCAGGGCAGAAGGCATCAGAGGAGGGGAGAAGAGACGAACGTGGAACATACTGAAGTGGTAGAACTCCAACATCTGGAAGGATGTGGAAATTTAAGAAGAGCCCAGATGCCAGAATCCTAACCACCTTCCCTCCTGCCTGAACCCCTTCCCCTTTCCCTTAGGAAAGAATTCCACCCCTACCCAGCCCCAAGCAGAATCTGTCACCCTGAAGGTGACCCCATCGCCACTGTGGTTCAAGAACGGCCACGAGACTCTCTGCTAAAAGACACAAAGGCAAGTCTGCTGGTGAACTTCGGGAGAAGGAATCTTCCCTCCTAAAGAGAGCCTGTCTCCACTCCCATCTCACATACTGCCACATACAAGTATCATCTCTAGAACCATTTACCCATCTGCTACCACCTGCATATGACCCTGATTCCCAGGATGACAGCACAGAAGAGATAAAGAGAAACTGGGAACCTGATCTGAGCAAATAAATCTCATGTTAAAAGAATCTTCAATGAAATCTCTGTAACCGAGAATCAAAGCATCTTAACTCATCAAGACCGAGTGTGGCCTCATTCACCAAACTAGGCAGCACCAGAAGACAGAGTCTGGAGGGAACAGAGGGCTGAGACATCTACTGTGACCTCCAGCAGGCAGTCAGAAACTCAAGTCAGATAAAAGGCAGGAAGGCTCACTAGGGCCTTCCTGATGCGAAGGCTACAGATGCGAAGCTTCAGCATCCCAGTGGTAGCTGGGGCAATGTGAGTAAAAATACAGAGATCTGAAAAGTCACTGGTATCTATGATATTGAACCACTCTGCTTCCCTACTTCTAATAACCAACCCATCCATGCCTCTCAGAGATCGAGCACCACTTTGGGCAGGATTGGTGGGTAAGATATCCTAAACTGGAATTCAGGGGGGAAGAAAGGCAAATAATAGATCACACATAATGACAGCTATCATTTTAGGGGGCTTCCCAGGTGACACTAGTGGTAAAGAACTCGCCTGCCCACACAAGCACCTTTTAGCCTATGTGCCTAAAATTCTTTTCTCAAATGTGTAGTCATTCCATGAGGCAGTTTTCCCACCCTACAGCTCACAGATGAGGAAAGAAGAGTCTTGTGGTCCATCACAAGATCAGTTATTTCAGGATTTAAACACAGGGCAGGGTAGGGGAAGTGGGGAGACCAAAAATGACCACCCAGCACCCCAATTAGTAGGATGGTTCCAGTACAAAGTGGGAGTAGTGAGAATGGTGGATAAAAACCAATTTTGACAAGTGACAATCAAGGCAGGAGAGGCTCCAAGATTGCTTTTCAAACACAGCTCTAAATGAAGGGCAAGGTGGGACCCAAGTGTTTAAAAACTCAAACAGGGGGGGCTTCTCTAGTGGTCCAGTGGCTAAGACTCTGCACTCCCAAGGCAGGGGGCCCAGGTTCCATCCCCGGTCAGGGAACTCTATCCCACATGCAGCAACTAAAGATCCTGAGTGCCACAACAAAGACCCAGCACAGCCACATACACACATGGGGGGGAGGGGCGGGGCAGGGCTGGATTTTCTTTAAATAAATAAAAAAATAAAAACTCACAGTCTCCGTGGGCTAGCTCAGAAACCTGACCCCCACTCACGTCACTGTTCCTACGCAAAGATGTATTCTAAACAAGGTAATTTCTCGGCAACCTCCGGGACACCATGCCTACAAAGCCGGGCGTGCTCAGCATCACTGACAGAGCTGCCTCAGGTGCTTTGAACATGGTGTTTCTCAACGATCTGCGGCCGCATTTGGTTCCCGCCTTGGTCTCATTTGGCTCATTCCCCCTCTGACATCTGACCTTTCAGGCACTGTCCCTAGGGTCTAGCGCTCAGCATCTTTCAGATCTCCTAGCCTGCATTCATCTCCACTTGGCCCTTCAATATCCTTGAAAACAAATTTCTCACCTATTTGGAAACCACTGCCAGGCCCTCTCTTGACTTCAGTAAATTACTTGCAAGAGCCATCTCAGCATCTGGGGACTCAGCAAGAGTGTTCAGATACAGAGAAAAGGATTAACAATGGGTGGCACTAAGGAAAAGTGACTATTTCACTTTAAAAAAGAAAAAAAAAAACAGGAAATGCATGGTTCAGGGGGCAAGGAATGCAATCCACATTTTTGAGAATGGTACAGACTTTCCAAACTGCAGTTACAGGCTTTGAGTCACGAACAAAACAGGCTGGTCCCTGACCTTAACACACCTAGTCTAGATCCTAACGACTGATAACAGGGGCCTGCTTAAATTTAATATATGAGACTTAGAAACAAATCTTGCGACGCAGGAGCAAATGGCAATTACTCTTACCACCCAAAGCAGGCTGACTGGGGCACTAAGGACGAGCTTTACGTGTGGCTAAAATATCAGAGACAAGGCTCGGCCAAGGAAGTCAATCCAGAGAAGCTGCAGTGCCCGCATGCTTAGTCNTCAATCCAGAGAAGCTGCAGTGCCTGCATGCTTAGTCGCTCAGTCATGCCCGACTCTTCGTGACCCTAGGGACTGTAGTCC